CAGAAGCCCGTGGTGATATCTAAATGCATAATTGCCGACCAGACCCACCGACTCGTGTGCAGACGTCCAGCGTATAGATCACCGATTAGCTGCAGCATTTACAACGGTATTATCGACAGGTTACGCCTCTATCCTTTCCTCTTTCCATCGAAAAAGAAAAAAAGAGAGAAAGCGTCGGGCCCGAGACGTAGTCCGGTTCCACAATGAAACGGGAACCTTTCTGTCTCCGGCAGTAAGGGTCGGCTGCCGTATTCTCTATCTGTGAGATCGGCGTGAAGTGGAAAGAGATTCTTGTCGAGCGAAGAGTGACGAGGGAAGGGAATGGAGAGTGGACGAAGCGGCAGGTAGAAATTATACAATGTCATGAAATAGATGTTCTCTTTACGAATAATTGAACTCAAAGACTGATATGAACTTTTACACGACTCGCTCCTTCTCTGGAAAATTTATGTACATTCAAAATGTATATTATAGATTGGTATGAAGACACATAAAGGTACAAACACAAATGTACACACTCAGAGTCATTCACTCATACTGACACACGCTAGCACAATGCATATATATATATATATATATATATATATATATATATATATATATATATATATATATATATATATGTGTGTTTGTATATATATATATATATATATCAAGAATATATTAACATATATAAATATAAAATAAGGTATACGGATAAATATGAATTTATATGGATTATGAAGAAATACATATAAATAAATATGTATATATATATATATATATATATATATATATATATATATATATATGTGTGTGTGTGTGTGTGTGTGTGTGTGTGTGTGTGTGTGTGTGTGTTGTGTGTGTGTGTTAAATGTTGTTTTTAGTAGATACTCATATTAAGTAGATTCTACTTTTATTATTAAATGGTAATTTATTTCGTAGAACGGTTCTAAGCATTCGAGAAATCCGCTTAACAATCCAAAGTCTTTGAACACACACACACATATATCTATATCTATATATATATATATATATATATATATATATATATATATATCAGTTCAGGTTTTGTACAAATGGGATAAAATTCCTATAACCCAAAAACATATCATCATAGATTACGTAACAATGTTTCTCCTACAGAGGGGGTTTAGTTTGTTTTTGAACTTTTAAAATCCTTTATTTGCAATCAGAACCATCACTTCACCAGTAGTGTTGAAACAAAATTGCAAGTTTTGTAGCGATGTTATGTGTTGGTGTGGTGTGTTTGTGTATACGCAAAATTAGGCTGCACGTATAAAAAATGTGTATTACATACGCACCCATAGTAGATAGATAATTAGATAGATTTATATATAATCTATGACAGAACGGTATATAAATATTTTTCTATCAAGAAAATATTGCGGGAAAAGTGTATGAAAATGTATAACCCAATCACAAAACATTTTCTACATTGTCATAAATGTTTCAGTCAGATATATATATATATATATATATATATATATATATATATACATATATATATATATATATGTGTGTGTGTGTGTGCGTGCGTGCGCGCGTGTGTGTGTGTGAGCAGTAAGGACCGAATTTGTAAGCAAACACTATTACTGCTGATAATGCAAGACTCTCCTAGCGATTTATTTCTCCGAGTGACTGGTGTGTTTATGAACAAAATAAGTACACAAAAAGTCGCCGTTCCTCCTGCTGGGCATCGGCTAGAATTTACGACTGATACCAAATCGGTCGGGTTTCGCTTCTGCCCTGAAGCGATCGGATGTCTAGCCACACTGATGAGCTGCGAAGCAATCTGTCTGTATATATATATATATATATATATATATACACCACATGTATATGTGCATTTGCACCGTCTGATCCGACGTGCTTTCACTGTTCAGCTACGAAGAACTTTACAAACAAGCAATGATCTTTTCTTTTTTTTTTACTTTATAACACATTCACTCTTTCAGATTTTCTGGAAAAATCCTATCTGCTCAGATTTGTATCCTGAAGGTAAGCACGGTAATTTTAAAACCTCGTACTATCCACAAAAATAAGTTTTGAAGTAATATAAAAATAGAAAATTGAGTTACATTACGTTATATTTGCACGATAGGTGGTTGAAAAATTATCTACTCAACTCCCTACACAATTATCTGTATTAAATGTTTGTGATCAACATTTAAATTCTGTCCTGTGTATGACGATAAACTACGTGCAACAGCAAGGCCTCTGATCAGCAGGTTTTGAGGAGCGTGGAACCAACTCTTAATTGCTGGTGTTCCCAGGTCCACCCTGACCCGGGGTGGTAGCACCTGTTAGGATCCCAGCTATGGGCAAATAGTTAACCTCGAAACTATGGTAAAAACACTATGAAAGTGTAAAAATAGGTTTTAATACTATAAATACTTTGTAACAAATTATTACCAGCAATAATTTTTTCGTAGAAAAAATATACCAGCAATAGATTTTTGAAGAAGAAATGTTACCAGAAATAGGTCTTTGACAAAACAAAATATTCGCAGCAAAATAATTTTGTCGGCATTAAATAACACATTGATGTTGATATGCCGTAAAACAAAACAAAACAAAATTTCAATTCAGAAAGTGACAATAGAAAAAAATAGGATATATAATGAGGAAAGAAAGTTTGCAGATTTTGAAACTCAAATTGAATGCAAGAGGGTAACAGTGAGTAAGCTCCTTAAAAACAGGGAGTCATAGGGATGAGGTTAATGACAAACCTTTTTATCAGATGTACAAGATAAGAAGTTGAAGAGAGACATGACCACCCACGATCTTAATGGACGCAGAATGTAGAAAAAAAAAACGAAAACTTGTCAGCACTCATCCATATCATGAAGGTGTGCTAACGCTTAATTCGCAGGTGTGCTATATAACAAACGTAAAATCAAGTTCCATCTTGGATGGAGTGGATTCATTTTCTAATGAATATCATTCCAATCTCAAAGGTGCAATGCCGGTCGATTTAAGGGCAAAGAGAGCCAGGGACGTAACTGTAAAATAGAAAATACAATGGATATATCTGAACGATTTGATAACAATCTCTTCTTTCAACAGAAAGGAAAGACCACAAGCTACCCCCGGCTGCCCTAGATAACTGAGTAGTCATAAAATGATTGCCTCAACTCACGAAGTAGAAATGATTAAAGACAAAATTCGACTGAGTTCGAAGGGGTAATAGAATGAAGCAAATAGAACCAAATCGACAGTAAACGCTGTCACTAGTAAACATTTAGGATTATATGATCTTAAGATGAGAAAGTGATGACAATTATCGATTGTCTTACACGTAATGCTGAATTTACTTTCAATTTGAAGATGTGTCCATTTAGGAAGAGCGCTAGAAAGTTCATTACATTTCTCGATATTACATAGTTTATTTTGTCTCTATAATTAAAAAATATATATATATAAACTGTTATTACATATATTTCTTTCGCTTTAGTTCTGATTCCTAATTCCATGAATATTGGTAATTAATTATTTTATGCGATGTAATTGTTTGCGCGCTGGGTATGACAATAACTTACATCCGCGTCCTGGGTAAGACGAGAAACTACGTCAACAGCAATGCGTCTGATCACGAGGTTTTTGAGGAGCGTAGAATCATCTCTTAATTGCTAGTGTTCCCAGCTCCAACCTGAGCTGTAGCGGTAGCAACTGTTATGATCCTGGGTATGGGCAAATAATTAACCACCAAACTGTGGTAAAAACACTATGAAAGTATAAAAATAGGTTTTAATACCATAAATACTTTGTAAAAAATTATTACCAGCAATAATTTTTTGAAGAAAATTTATTACCAGCAATATTTTTTTTTACGAGCAATACATTATTACCAGCCATACATTTTTCAAAAAAAGTATTTTACCAGCAATACATTTTTGAAAAAATATAACCAGAAATAGATTTTTGAAAAAAAATATTATCAGAAATAGACTTTTACAGAAAACAATATTACCAAAATTAGATTTTGGAAGGAAAAATATTACCAGCAATAAAAATTTTGTCGGCATTGAATAACACATTGGGATTGATATGCCGTAAAACAAAACACACCAAGTCGAACCATTTAATTTAATCTGTGTAATTTTATTCAATTTAGAAATAAAGTTCTAACTTTGGTTATCTCGAGTGATTCCTGCCCAAATTAAGAAAATTAGTGGCTGATTTTTGCACAGTATTACCGTCAAAATAAATAATAAAAGAGAATTATTAGTCATGGTTGTAGAAGTTACAAGGAGGGAAACATAATAAAAATTTCCGACTATATTCCTGAGATGAGGTATTGTAATTAGTTACAGAATTTACATTGTTCGGGTTAATGTATACATGGTCCAGTAGATAAAATGCAATTCACTGACTTGACCCAAAGTGTTGTGGGTTTAGTACCTGGCCAGAGTAGAGGTGAACAAAATCTTGGAGATTTGAGTAACTAAAGGGAAATAACTGAAAATGAGATATCCATGGCAGGCGGGACGGGAACAATTTAACTTGGTGAACGAAATAAAGGGTTCAAGTCGAAGTTTCAATGAAGGCCGGGGTGCACAACTTTCGAAACGTCGTGAATATGACAATAAATACGTGTACAATAGTCCAAACAATGTAAATAGTGTAAATGATCATATATATATATATATATATATATATATCTTCTCTCAATAATAAATGTTCACGATGGATTCATATTCGAGATAATCGTCGATAAATACTACGAACGCTATCCCATTTTCGCGACCATTACTCGCTTTAATCTGAACCAAATGAAATATTAACTCCCGATAGAAAATGTGATACAGTAATCTAAAAAGACAAAAGATGTCTTCTAGAAGCCACAAAATAATAACCAAAGATGCCTTTTGGAAAATCAGAAAAGTTTTACGAGATAGAAAAGAAACTGAGAAGAGAATGCAAGATTGAGATTTTATGTATTTTCTTCCATATTGCAGATCAAGAAAACGTTAGGGGTGAGTCTACGGCTACCTCACTTTGAAAAACCAGTTCCCGTACGATCACCGAAGTTAAGAAACATCGGACCTGGTCAGTATCTAGATGGGTAACCGTTTGGAAATATCAGATGCTTGGATGTGCTGGTGATATAATGGCTGCGTATTGTTAATTGGAAAACCGAATTCCAATTCCAGTTTTATTCGTTATATTAACTTATCCGCCAATGTTCTTGGGAAAGGTATGAATTAACTTCTCATCGCAGTTATAAGTTAATTAGTTAGACTTGATTCGCTAAACGATTATTATCCCCAAAAATAAATTCTCTCAATCTTAAATATTGTATGTCTTTAAATAACCTGCAAAAACGAATCAATCAGATAATAAATGATATTAATCAACAGAGAACTGGTTTTGATAATATCAAGAGTAGAATATATGGGAAATGGACAGTTTTTAGGTGAATATAAGGAAAATGCAACGACCAATCGAGAAAAAACAGTCGAATGTTTCGCGCTTAAATTTAGGGAAAAATATTGTATGACATTAACAACCAGAGAGCTGAGCAGTCGACGTAGTTTAATGGTTAGGAAGCGATATTTATTCTGTTTAATACAGAAATGTGGCACAAGGCCGAAAAGGGGATTGGGGAAAGGACGGTCATCTTCTGTCTTAACTATAACTTAGCTAGCCGCAAACTCTGACCCAATCTTACGAAACAATATTCTTTACACCAAAACAACACATTCATTCGTACCTTTCTTACTACAACCACCATAATACCTCTTTGTCTCTATGAAAATAATAACTAGTCCCCATATTTACAATTCGTTGCCTGTGGGGGGAGGGGAATAAAACAACAATTCTAAAAGTTAACCCCAATGAGTATTTACAATATGCGTACAAAAAAACTATACACAAGAAACTAAAGAAAAATAAGATTAGTAATAAAACCCCCCACAATTACTAAATGTGACAGAAACATCAATTCACTGGCCGAAATCAATGTGGGACTATAATGGTATAAAACATTCATTCATCCCAATCACTCACACTGACATGCACTCATTCAGACACAACAACAAATACGAAAAAAGCACTCACGCGAAAACGAAAGGCGCCCCGCATCCACCAGCGAACTGACATCACTGACCACCTAACGAGGAAGGGGATGGGGAATTAAACTTAAAGAAAAAAAATGGTTAGGAAGCTTGTCTAGCTTAATCAGTTACGACTTAATATTGATTTTGATCCTCACAGGGTGTCCCATACTTTCGGTCTTGTGCCACATCTAAGCTACTCTTTGAAAATAACCTTAACAACGAGAGTTTCCTAAAAGGAAATATATCAGACGAAAGGGCGAACATCTTAGTTGACTTTTATAATTCAACTGATTAAATCATAACTACCAAAAAACAAGTATCATTATGTATACTAGTTCTTACCCAAAACAAGACCCAAGAGCTCCTCAAGTTAGAGGGTTACTGTGTGGTGTTGTATGAACGTGTGAAAGAACAGGAAGTAAGAATCACGGAGCTATTCAGGAAATATAACAATTAACCCTAGACATGAAGAGGTCAAGATTAAAATAATTGGGGAAAACGTTCCAGTGGGAGCCTGTTTGCCAAAAGAGCAGCTCTTGAGAGAAAGCTGCCCGAATGAAACTTGCATCTTCCGGACTGAATGGTGATGATCCCCAACTATGTACGTGGCATGGTGGGTGCCAGATTTAAAGATCAGGAGTGATGGGACTAATGTAACTCGTCAGAACACCTGCCAGTGAAATAGCAATAGAGCTGAGAGAGGTTAGGGACGTTTCGTCTGTAGGAAAGGGGTTGGAACCTGGGAAACCATTAATTACCAACAAGGCCGCGGAATGGCCTTTGAACTCTCTCAAGACAGGCAAATGAGGGCTGAGCAGCTCAACGCCTGATAGGGAAGGAATACTCCATTTTTATTCTGATCTGACTCATGTAAAGATAACCTATAACAGTGCGTATCAGATACTCATTGCTGTGGCCTTATTAAGGCCAGAAATAAAGACACACAGAGAGGAACTGAGTTAAACAAATATATTAACAGAAACAGTAATACAAACATATACAAACGAGAGTGTTACAGCAAGAATGTTCAGTCCGACTGTCAGAGCTGACTGCTGGAAAATTCCCTCTCCAAAAGGCAGTACCTGCTCCTATTTATAGCTTGGAGAGTCCATGCGTGCGTGGGTATATTACCATAACACTCATTGAAGCGGTAAAATCAATTAATAACTTTTCTAGCTACTCTGAAACCAAGTCTAAATCCAGGGCCCCTCTCCTGTTAAAAGAACTCCTCCTGGTTTACCTTCATCAATTCCTATCTCTTGCCATACTAGACCATATTGTTCCGGGCTATCGAGTCAGATTTCCTGCATCATTTTTGCCTCTCGTCTCTCGCTAATTATTTTCTACTGATTTGGTGTTTTCTCCGTCGTCCTAATAGTTTAGCTGATGCCTCTGAGACGATACACGCGACTAGTCCATTTTATTTGCCCTTTTTGTCGGTCTCGATTATGTCCTTGATACCAGTTTGCGAACGAATGCAGCTGTTTCTCTTCCTATTACGTAATGTGATGTCGAGTATGATTCGTTCAATTTTATGTGTCTGCAGTGGTTGTGTTGATCACCCACGTGTCATTTCTACAAGTCGCCACCACCAGAATATTTTCATTAAACAATTTTATCTTAGTTTCGATCGTTGAATTGAGACTTTACATGATGCTATATTTTTTTCCAAATCTGGCCCAGCCAAAAAAATCCTTCTTTTGACAGCAGGAAGTAGAGGTAAGCTCAGTAAATCGGAAATGTTTGACAAGATCATTACTGATTATGAAACGTTAGTGTTCTCAATACGATAGTAAAATAAAACGTCAGAGAATGCAGTGTGAATAAACACTCGTTTCAATTGCATTCAAAGAACATGCTGGTATCTTCCATGATAAAAAAAAAATCGTTTACAACAAAACCTTAACACAAGAAGAAAAGTTATCTCCGCTGGAGCAGCAAAAAGTGTTTTATCCACAATTCTAATTTACGAATGACTAAACGTTTTTCTCTTGCATCTATTGTTTGGATTTCAGATTTCAAGAGAATTAGTTGTGGATTTCTTTGGTCATACAAGATTCCAGATACTCATTACTCTTTGAACCAAATTTTGAGTTTAAGGAAATTCAGAGGGATACCATAGATGTCACGGTACTGTTTTTTTTTTTTTTAATTCTAAAAGCTTTCTAACAGGAAATTGACACCCAAGTGAAAATAGTTTCTTGAAGGGTTGATGGTTTCTGATCTAGATGTTGAGCTAGTATTTAAGACTCGGAATAGGCAAAGCTGAAAAGAAACTTATATGATTATGACGCCGCAGATGACTCTTTTCAAATTCAAAAACAGTCTCCAGAAAGCAATGTTTTACCCTCTAGTTCGATCAGGCATAGCAGGAATTTTTGAAAAACTGAAGAAGCATAAAATACTTTTTTTGTCATGTCACACCCGGTAAAGTAATAAAGCCACTAATGCACAGAGAATTACTGAGCGTTAGAGAATATGAGACAAAAACCATGACTAAATAGAGATAGTATTAAAAGAAGTGGTATTAAGAAGACAGGCATTTAAATTTTTTGAAGATCATAGTAAAGTGGGAAGCAAGAAGCCGGAAGAGAATTCAAGTGATAAGTGTGAGAGAAGACAATATTAGCATAGAACTTACGGTTAAATATAGCCATTTCAGGTGCAAAATGATGAGAAATTGCCGCTATTCTAGTACCGGGATTGAATTTATAAAGTCTAGGTATGACAGATGAAAATTTCATCAAAAGCAATTAGTATTATAGTATTTACATGGAAGCTACGTTGCAGCGGCGAAAGATAACTAAAGCCGAGATGCCGGACGAGGATCAATATGATTGCAGATTCTTCTTTGAATTTTATCAAAAATCTCTAAATAAGAAGCACCAGACCACATATTGCAGAAATATTAACAGCAAGGTAGTCTTAATTAATATGTAAGATAGATTCCGGTGAGAAAAATGTCTTGCACGCCACAGAGAATCAACTTTTCTAGCAGTAGATGGAGAAATTGATTCGATACAATCTTTCCACTACAGATAACATTAGTCGTAGAAGACACAATGGGAAACTCACCTGGATTTTCTTATCAGTCATACTCTTGAATGGCATGAATGTTTCTCGCAGACGATTCAAATTTGTCATCAGCATAGATAGCGAGTTGAGAACTGATGACATCAGGAAGACCGTTGATGAAAATTAAAAACAACGTAGGTTCAAAAATAGAATCCCGGGGAACAGCTTCATTAATGCAAAAAAAAAAAAAAGAAAACTTAGAAGTGTTGCCATTCAAGACAATTTTTCATTTCAGAATTTGACAAGTATGACTGAATCAGTACAACCTTTCGCCCAGAAATAACGTCACCTATCAACTTGTGAAGAACACCAGTATGCCAAAACCTGTCAAATGGCTTCGAGATATTCAAAGCAACAGCTCGATCGTTACCGTTCTTAACTAAAGCTAGTCACGACACGTCGAATGATAACAAGAAAATGTTACAGCATATCTGACAGTTGTCAAATGTGCAGAGGAAAGGGAGCAAGGTAAAGCCATGAAATTGGTTAATATAGATGGATACCTGTTTCGTGAGGAAATGTAGACACTGAAACCAATTTTTTCACATGAGATTCAAAACGCCATGAAAATACCGCCCTCGTTTACATCAAGTAGTCTACCGCATTTTCCAATATATTCTTTTTTCTTGAGAAATTATTGACAATCAAAGTCTCTGTTGCCTCAGGGGAAAGGTGATATTTTTTTGCCAAACTGGAACATGTCAATATATATTTGAGGATGTCAGTTGAGCAAGAACTCTTGTATATTTTGTCAATTATTCGCGTTGAATCTGAAATAAACAGAAGCTTAAATTTAGAAAAATTCCTAAAAGACTAAGGGATGAAAATTTCAAAATAATACATGTTTGCATAATGAACCTAATGATTACATGGCACAATTATTATTTATTAATGTACGTGGGAAAGTCAGTAATTATCCACACTCTTGTCTGAATATATGTTATGGCGAGCCTGCA